GAGAATTACTTTAAATTTTCGTATCCTTTCTGAAATAACTATTTCCGGTTTTTGATAAGTTTCTTTTAAGTTCATCAATATTACGCCTTGAATTTAATATTTCAGCTTTAGTCTTAATACCACGCTTAATATTTCTACATCAGTATCTCTCCTTCTTCCACACCCACTCACATCCATCCCCTAGATGGTTAATCTTGGTTTCATCAGACCAAATAACCTGCTTCCAGTCTTCCACAGTCCAATGTTGTACCTTCGGTAAGCGAAAATAATCTGTAAATTACAGGATCAGTTAATATTAAGACTAAATTTCTATGTTTCAAACAAGATTGTTTGTTTCTTACTTACAAGTATATGTTGTGTTTTGTATTTGATAATTTACTTCAAACTCCAAGGTGACCAGTAACCCTCGCCCAGGTCTTATTTCACCTTCCACTTCCTTTGATACTAATTTCAACCTAATATCCCCAGAATTAAAGAATTGATATTTTCCTCCTGAAAACAGTCCCCCTATTCCACCAAATACGTGTTAATAGGGAAACAAAAGCTGGATCATAATTCAAGTAATGAATACCTCGGAGATAACGAATAAAACACCCCGTATTTTGTTGCAAAGTCAAGCCGTTGGTGGACATGTCTTGGCAAAAGTCGTGGCTTTTTCTTCTTTGTTGCTGCCTTTAACCCAGCTTTTTTTAAGGCACGGCATACTGTCTGGGCATTGACTTCTATATTGCTGACATCCCTTAGCTACGGGTGAGCTGGACAGCATTATCTGCCTTGCCTGGTCTGAAGTAATTGTAGCAATTGTGCACTTATCAGTGGCGTTAAGTTTTGCCGGTCGTCCACCACAACTTTTCTGTATATCCGTTCTCGACTTTTCATGTATCCTATCGATGAACGGCTGATGCCTAATTGTGCAGTAATTTTACGGGATGAAAGTCCATTGTCAAGTAGAGACAAGATATTATTATGAGTTTCTTCCAAATTAGGTTTCATAATGCAACAAAATCTAAAAGGAAGAGGAAATACGCGTTTATAAGTGTAAATAATCTTTTGCTAAGGTAAACAATCTATTTTGGTAAGTTTGAACGCGTTCTGATATTTGTATTACATGTTACAAAGGCATAATAGGTAAGTTACAAAACTGGCTCAATGTGCTGATAAACTTTAAAAATTCGTAACTCAAAAAGTTTCAATAAAAATAAAATTGTATTGAAAGCTAGAAAGCAAAACTATATTTAGTTTAAATTTTGGTTGAATATTTGTGGAGTTATAAGCCTATACATTCAATTCTTCCAAACATTGAGCTGGTTTTGTGAGTCACTGTAATTAGTTAGGAGAGGCACAAGTGATGAGCTAAATAGTCTAATGTAATTTCTGAGGGAAATGTGAATATGAACAGTATCATTTTATTGTACATTAAAAGATACATGAAGGCAGTTAGTGGAAATGAGTTGGATTTTATTGTTATGCAGTACAAATATGATGAAAGTAACAATATTTATTTGCGTTTTTGAGAATCATTATAATAATTTATGGAAAGTATGAGCCATTAGTTTTAATGTAATGTATTGTGTATGTATGGTAACATATTATATTAATACACTTAGTAAGTTAGAAGATGTGCATACTTTACAGAAACCCTGTAAATCCTCACAAGGCTTGACCATGCATTAGTTAATGACAGGCCTTTTCGATAGTTGTGCATTCATTATACTATGTAGCCACTATTTTTTTTTGATCATCACTTCACAATGTTATCTTACACGTACGTGCGTGGATTGTATAATTATTGTACAATCTTAAATAAATTATCGGTCGGTCAAGCATTACAAACATTTTCAAAGCCTTGTGCAATCTATGGCGGCTTTTCTAACCTAGTAACAACCTGTCTACAAGGTTATTCCATTAACTATTACGTCAACGTATTAAAAAAGTGGTTGACATATCGATCACAAAATTTTTTATATGAAATTCTTGTCAGTGGCTTATCAACGCTTGCGTCAGCTTCTTTAACGGCCATGACCAGTGGCAATAGAGTGTGCATATGGAGCTGAAGAAGAAGGAGGAGACCATTGGCACAGTTATATCATTTATATGAATTCAAGCAGGATCTTATATTCTCGTAAGTATTATTACGTACATTAATGACTGTCATCATGCACAGCACATACTTGTAACGAGTTATTCACATTATAATCCATCATCATCATACGTTCCCAACCCAATCAACCTTCCCAATGCATATTTCTCATTGCGTCAACTTTTGCGTTCATTCATAATCTCATCCGCCCCTTCCGCAAACACAGCAACGCCGATACTGACACCAACCTCATTAATACCGCCACTTAATTCCATTGCGCCTCCTTCTGATCTATACCCTCATCCGTAATTATACCACCTGTTCGTCATTGCCATCAACAACTCAGCATCATTGACATCAACGTCATTGTTGTCATTCTAACATATGACTATCACTGTCCCGGCTATAATCTTTAACTCCTACACACGATCTTTCTCTTCCAGAGAGTGTCTTACCAAAGGATTTCGAAAAAAAGGCAACCTGCAAGACAACGAAAGAGCTCGAGAGGCGGCTGAACTATATATTTTAAAACGATGTAATAACCGTGGAGAGTTTTTACATAGACGTGGAAGGGACGATTCCGAGGACGTCATACGATGGATTTGGAAGACATATGAATAATAAGCAGTAGTGGATCAAATGAAACACATGAATCGAACGGATGTTCAGGACGAGGTTGAGGTTTCGGTATCAGCAGAAGCGGATTACGAAGAAGTCGTAAAGATGCAGGTCAAAAAGAAACAAACTGATTATCCTTCGCAAGTGTGCCGACTCAAAAACAAATCGGCCGAGTGATATTACTGTTGATCATGCTCCTTTGCAGGGAAACGAAAGAAGGTGCTTATTATTATGTTAATTGGAGCTATTGAGACTACGATTTATTTGCCTTACTAACGTCTTATTTTTGTACTAATTCTACGATTTTCACGATTTAAATTAGCTCTATGTTGAAATGAGCTATACAAGGTCTCAGTAATAGTAGTGCTAGGGTACCTCATTTATTAGCGATTTTTATTTACTTGTTGATTCAACAGTGCATATGGTGTTTACCGCTGAACGTAAGAATCTACGTTAACATTAATTGACTATCAATATCTAAATATTCTGGGCGGCTGCAACATATTGCGTAAAAGTAGCTTCCTTGATGACACAGGTATATAATAATAAGTTCATTCAATCCTTATCTTTATACGAATCATACTAATACCAAAGAATATTCCCGAAATATAGAATCCTACATAATATAATCAATCTCAATCTCAAGGTGAGCTTTTCCTTCATTCCCTGCGTTCTCTCGCCCTTCCCCCATCCAATATCGAGAAGTTAGATCCCTCTTCCTATTCTCTATGACCTTTCACATCCTTCAAACGCAATCATAGACTATCCTCCACACCAACGTCAACATCATTTTGTCCCTCCGTTGGTAAGCAAACGCTCATGGAGCGTTGTCAAGTATGAAAATAATACTGATTTATGCTCAAGTAATCGAAGAAACAATCAGGGGGTCATGTTCTCCAACTAAAGAAGAAAAGAGTTGGAGCATCCTGGCTACAAACAAAGTCAAAGGACAGATTGAGATTAAAATTATTTGAATGGTATTGGAAGACATAGATCAAATCCACCTCCATATTCTTATATGTCACTACACAACTATGCTCACTACAACTCTTCTCTTGCTCTGTTGTCAGATCAGTCTCCATCATCATATTTCCAGCACCAATTCCTGAGCCTGACTTCCCACCATAGTCTAAGTGCCAAAGCATTCCTTGAATAGACTTTCAAATACAGCCCGAGATTTTGTTGGTAGACCCGACAAAATAAGGAGAAGATCGAGAATTATGGAGTGAGTGGGAATGAGATAGAAGGGGATGAAAATTGTATGCCAATACAGAGTCAAACGGTGTCGAAATTGTGAATTGTTTGCCATTGCATAGTGGAAGTACATCACCCATCATGAGCCTTAGCTCCGACTCACTATTTCTTCAACAGTTAGGGTTTATTTTTTGACATTGTTAAGTATAGATTACATTTATGTAAAATGATATTATAACAATATCTATTGCACATCCAAGAGTGAAAATTTAATTGTTAATATTATCAATGTTTTTTATTGTTGTTGTTTAGCTACATATACAGGGGTTCCAGTTGTTTTAATACCAACAACAGATTGGTTTTCTGGTGTTGAAGCTCTGTTTATTACTTGAGGGGGCAGATCATTGCTTTTAGACTACTTGATCCACTACTTCCTCAAAGTACATCTTTAGTTTAATGGCATTTGTCAATAGGTCTTCTACAGATTCTCAGTTTAAGACCTGTCTGCATCATTTATCCTCTCTGTCTCACTCTATAATTCTCGATCTCCACATGCTATCGCTGGGTTCACTAATAAAATCCACCCTCAGAGTAGCCTGCAATCAAAAATTTAAATGAAATAAATAGTAGATACATTTAACTGAATTGTATAGTAATCAAGCTCATCATTTTCCATCTTATTACTGACACTAATTATGACTTCTATAACCACAATATTAAATATGCCCATCTATTGAATGAGACTATATACCTTTTGTAAAGGTAATTATAAGCACCTGCATAATAATAACCCACAACATCTTGTAGTTCTGGTTGGCTTCAAACACTGAAGCAGGCCCAATGAGGCAAAAAATAAGCCTTCCACGATATTCTACCACACGTTGCCCACTTTTTACAGTACAAATTGAATCAGTGCATATTAAATGTATCGAATGCTTAAATCTGATGAATTATGCAAATGCATATCTCAATCCCCGCCTGATTGAACACATACTGCGTTACAAGGGGTCAGAGGATATTGAGTATTTCTTCGTCTGCATACCATATTTCAAAGTTTATGAAGTTGGATATGTACCATTGATCGTTGATATTGATGATATGTCGTCATCTACAAAGCACTCCTGGCGGCTGTTTGGATAATAAGAGTAATGTGGATATGGAGATCCCGAGTAGTGTGGATACTGTAAAATGGTATTTTCAAATCCAAGATCTCATATGCCACATAGAATTTGCCACCAACTGAGTCCAGAACTGACACACTTATATGGTCATTTACAACCAAAAGCCCTGTCATAGGCACTGCGATCAAGGAATTGTTTATGTCCTTTGCAAGATCACAGTCTTTATCCTTTAAAGATGACATTATAGAGTCTTGTGTAGCCATCTTTACACAAGCAAAGCAATTTTTTCCAATCTGTCCTTTGACTTTGTTTGTAGCCAGGATGCTCCAACTCTTTTCTTCTTTAGTTGGAGAACATGACCCCCTG